TATCCAAAGTATGTACTCATGGTTATGTAGTGGAACGCAATTATTAATTGAGTGTTATTTTGGTACTGACAGTTCGGGAATCTATCATCCATTAGCTGGGGTTGAGTCTGCGGGACTTCAGCAGCGTGGGATTGAGTCTTTGGGACTTCAGCAGTGCGAGGTGGGTTACCTTCCAGTAGTGGTGGGTCTACGGCCACAATATCAATCCACTAGTGGGAGTTGTATGTTAGATGATTGTCTTTGTGATATTCATCTAGGTTTACTGCTACCTGTTATGCTTTATATGCTAGCATGTTATGATGTTATGTGATAGTGGTAGTAAGGGGTGAAATAGTCCCCGGTTACCGGTCGATAGGACCGAAGGGGTAGTTTAGTACCCAGGCATGCTAGCCAGATTATGATATATGTGATATAATAGGGGGTGAAATAGTCTCCGGTTACCGATCGACAGGACCGAAGGGGTAGACCAGCACCCGGATATGCTAGGCAGTATGTGATTTATGTTTATATGCTAGGGTTTTATGTGGTAGTGGTAGGGGTGAAATAGTCCCCGATTACCGGTTGAAAGATATTAAAGGGGGGGGGCCAGCTCCCAGTTACCGGTTGAAAGATACCGTAGAGGTAGGCCAGCTCCCAGATATGCTAGGCAGTCACCGGCCGAGAGGACCGAAGGGGTAGGCCAACACCTAGATATGTTAGGCAAGGTCATCGGTTGAGAGGGTCGAAGGGGTAGGTCGGGCACCCAGATATGCCTGATAGTATGTATGTCATATGTATTTGTATGGTATGTGGTATGATGAGGGAACTCACTAAGCTTTATGCTTACGGTTTACAGTTTTGGTTTCAGGTACTCGTTTTCATAGGAAAGGAGTCGGCTTGATCGCAACGCATCACACTATGTTTTCCGCACACGAGATCTTTGGGATTACAGTATGATATTATTTTATGATAGTATGTTTTGATTACTGACACTTTGGTTTGACACGAGATATTATTATGAATGTTTTTATACTGATGGTTTTATGTAATAACTTATTTAAAAATTAAATTTTTGGCCTTGAATTTTGGGATGTTAGACCGTGTGTCAAATGTGATTATCATTCAGTTGTGAAAAATATGTTAAGTTAAAAGTAATTTTGACTCTAGCCCACGCAGCAGTAACACAAGTGTTTCTTTTACAACTTTGGTTCCATTTTAGTTTTCTTCTACTCAGTTCTTGTTAGGCAGTCTCATGGCCTAAATAATACAAGCATTGTTTTGGCCATTTTTGTGATTCTTTCATGAGTTTCTTTCTTCTAATTATGGAATTCAAGATACATAAAACTTTTTGCCATTGTATTTGATTATATATATATATATATATATATATATATATATATATATATATATATATATATATGAACTTGCGAACACACAATCAATTCATCATTTTTCAACACTAAAAACACAATCTTCTTCAAATAATGCGTCTAAGCCATATCCAGGCTCAAAAACAAGATTTGACAAATTTTTTTATTTATTTTCGAAATTTGAATGTATGCAAAATCAGCAGTGCGTACAATTGTTGATTGTGTTCATCAATAATCATACAAAGAAACCAAAAAAATAAATAAATAAATAAATCACCAAATCTTTTTTTGAGTCTAGATATGATTTAGACGCACCATTTAGAGAATATTTGTGTTTTTGTTGTTGAAAAATAATGAGTTGATTATGAGTTCACAAGTTCTCATAAATCTTTTGGTTCTCAAAAGAACCTGAGTCTCTCTCTCTCTCTATATATATATATATATATATATATATATATATATATATATATATATATATATATATATATATAATTGTAAAACAAAAGGTCAGATGGGACCGACAATTTAAATAAAAAAAAGTTGAGGAAATTTGTGAAATATATTTGGAGTTACACTGTAACCCGACTATTGTATCGTGTCAAGTTAAATTGTTTATTTTCGTGTCGGGTTTTGGATTAGGTTTGGATCTTGAAATGTGTTGTATGATGTTAGGCTAAAAATTTAGACAGGGAAAATGTGTTGTGTCGGGTTCGTGTCATATTAAAACAGTAAACGGGTTGAGTGAGCTACACTATAATTCGATATGTTTAATTATCGTGTTGTGTTATGTCAATCTTTATTTATGTGTTGAGTTTCGCCTTAGGGTTAGACCTTGAAATATATTATGTCATTTCATGTGAGGTTAAAATACAAAACATGTTGAAAGAGTATGAGTTCGGTATGTGAGAAAAATTGAAAGAAAATGTAGTAGTTGGCAATGTTGGTGGCTGAACGTGCCTGTTTCTTTAATTCTTATCAGTGTGGGCAACGCCCATTCCTGTTATGATGATGTGGCCCCCGAAAAATGTTGTGGTAATGGCTGCACACTGTCCCGCCTAGTCGTTTTTGCGCGTTATGTGCTCATCCATGGTGCTGGTAACAAAGGGCAAAGAGAGTTTTTGGACGAATATGACCATTGTAGGTCAAAAATGGTGAGAGTTATCCTCCCCCAGTAACAACGAAGAAGACCAGAACTTTTTGGTTTAGGTAGTTTTGGCCCCTTAAGTTCCACATATTATGAGTTAAACCCGTAGCCAAATTTGTCTTACAAATCTGATTTCCAAAAACAAAAATACTATTTTCACCATGGACTTATGCAATCTATTTTTTAGCATTATTATTATTATTATTATTATTATTATTATTATTACTATTATTATTATTATTATTATTATTATTATTATTATTATTATTATTATTATTATTATAGCATGTTTTATTAATTTATATTTGTATTTTATAATTATACTAATGAAAAAAAATATGACATGGAAATTAGAGGGTGTTATAACATGTAGTGGTGTAATTGGTACGGTACCAATTCATTTTTCTTTAAACCGTATACCGTACCAACTACAATTGGTATAAAAAAAATTGCTACCGGTACCGTACCAAGTATACTTAGTACCAATTTATTTGGCTACCAGCAAGTTTGGTTGGTACAAATTGGTAATGGTATATACCAACTTCTTTTAATTTTATATTATAAGATTTAAAAACAAGCAAAGACATCGGGATTTTGATGTGTGGTATAGAAATTTTTTATGTAGTTCTTTTAGTTTACAAAAGAATTCTACTGAAGTAACGTTTATTATTGTGCTTTAACGTAGTAATAACTATTGACTAATACGACCAAATTACTAATATAATGTCATTGAAACTATAAACACTAAATACAATTAACAGTTGAAATATATATATATATATATATATATATATATATATATATATATATATATATATATCAAATGAATTGGTTAGTACGGTATTACAATGGTATTTCAATTTTTGTACCATTACCGTACCAACATTGATCAATTTGTACGGTACTACCTACCAAATATATTGGCTACCAAGTTTCTTGGTTCGGTTGGTAATATGTTGATTGGTTTTTCATGGTACAATTTTGCTAGTCCTAATAACATGTTGTCCATTACTCCAATTGGTGTTATAACACCATGATGACATGGCTGATGAGATGATAACTTTTGGGTATAATAACAAAGTGTCCATACCCACCACAAAAAAAAAAAGAGGATGAATGGATTTACGCAGTTGCGAGTCTAGAACGTAACACCACATGATTCACTATTTAAATGAAAGTGATAAAAAATCAAACAATAGTAGTTACAAGTTCAGGTCGGGCCGGGTCGTATAAGCCAAAAAGGATTTAAAGTTCTTACAATTTTACCACGGGATTGTGGTGGAGGCCGAAAGGGCAGCTGTCGGCGCAATTGATCGGCGATTGTACCTGAGCTAATAGTGATAGTTGATTGTGAAGAAATGAGATCGAGGACCGAAGAGAAAATGCCGCTCCTAATGTCTATTGTTGATGTCGTTTATACAATTTTAATTTTTTTTGTATATTTATAAAAAAAAAAAAAAATTTAAGTTGTATTGGGTTACTCTTGTTGGATTATACCTTAAAAAATATTAGGCTACCAAAATATAGATTATCGGCCGTAAAATTCAAATTAATACATACATTTCTTTTGCCAAAAATATTAGATAGTTCGTTAAAAATAATTAGGGTAGATCAGTAATTTTAATCTTATATGCCTTATTATATGGGTCGACCCACCAAAGATATGTCTATCCATATTGATTTAGTGTTATGGTTAAATGGGTGGGGTAAAGGTTTTGTTTATTTTCTTTTTTCTTAAAAAATTTATAATATATATTAAATCTAAAAAAATAAAAATAAACTCGAGAACACATTTCATTGTCCTTCATTTCTTTTCTCTGCTTGAAAAAAAAAAACACAACCTTCATCCTTATTCCTTCATTTTCTCCTCTTAAAAAGTCATAACAAGGCGTAAGGAAAGAAGAAGATGAATCCTAGGGATATCCTAAAAATGCGACTAAATTATGACTTTTATATATCTAGAAAAACATTGTATATAAAAAAAAATAAAAACCTAGAAGACTTTCTAAATAATAAAAGTTGGTTGCACATGGCTTTATGGACTTGTTTTCGCCATCACGGATCTTCTTCATCCTTGTTATCTCCTTTGTATGACGTAATGTTCACTACATTGAAGAAGGTTGCTGATACATTATAATGGCATAGAAGGCCAAATTTTGTGAGGTAAAGGATTCTCACATATCACAATTAAGAAGATAAGAAAAAACAGAAATAATAATAATAATAATAATAATAATAATAATAATAATAATAATAATAAGTAAAAGAAAAAAAAAACTGATTTTATTTCTTTATTTCAAGAATCAACACAAAATATTTCTGATTTCTACATATACAAAAAGAAGTTTCTTTATTCAAAAAATGTGTTAGGTCTGTTGTGATAAGAAAGAAAGACTATAGGAGGGGGCTGAATACAATCTTCGAACACTTTGGAAAATTAAGGTGCTGTTTGTTTTTCTGAAGCCAAAATGTCTGCAGTCTGCGGATCATATCTGCAAGCCTCTGCAGCAGAAGAGGTGGATCAAATGTTTGTAGTCTGCAATAAAAATATTTTTTGTTTTTAACATCTGCAACTATTGAAATAAATTGATTTTTCAAACTTAGTTTCATGTTATAAACATTAAAAATGCATTTTCAGTAAAAAAAGAAAGACAACAAACTGATGGCCTATGTTTTTTTTAGGTTAAAATGAGGTCTGAAGATCTTTGAAGACAGTAGTCCATGTCTGCGCCAAGAAGACTTTGCACAGACGTTTTTGGATCTGCGCACTTCCAAAAGACAAACAATCTGCAAAGGCATATGTCTACACGGTATAGACAAAAATGGTCGCGCAGATCTTTACAAAAAAAAATAAACAGATGTAAAAATAAAGATGGTGTTAACTTTATGATTGATTAATCTATAGATATGAGATAAAAGACGAGCACAAAGGTTCCTTTTACATTGGATTTGATAGAAAAACTTAATGGTGTAAGCGAAAAACAAAAGGACCATCATGCAAATTTTTGAAACAAAAAATCTCATAACTACTCGTGATTCTTAAAGTCTTGATGCAACGAATGCATTATATATGCAGCAGCAGGTGGTCTGATCTCAAAAGATGGCAAGGAGAAACGTTAATGTCCTTGGGATCAAGACCCCAAAAAACCCCAATTCAGATATGTAACTTTGGCAGTAAATGTGAAGCAATCCAGGTCTCACATGATATACAACAATCATCAACACAACAACAACAACTAAACCAAGTCACGTATACATATATCAATATATCATATCAACAAAACATATATTTAAAAAAAAAAAAAGTAAAACCTATAGTAAGGGTTAGACAAACAACCAACAAGCAAAGAACGTAGTAATATCAATATGTGGTGTTAAGCTACACACACAGAGAGAGACACCTATTAATTTGAAATTTGAAATCAAATATATACAAGCAAAGCAATGATGCATTTGGATTTGGTACATTACATAATAAGCGGGAAGAATAAAAGAAGCCGTTGACTGATGGTGGGGCCATTTTCCTTGAGCTTGGCTTGGCCACCACCACAGGCGGATGGGATGGGTGACTGGCAATAACATAACATTTTCCAGCATCTTTTTCTTCTTCATGTTGTTGTTGTTCAACAGGTGGTGGTTTTATTGGAGTGATGGGAGGGGCGATTAATTTCTTCTAAGGTAAACTAGTAGCAGAAGACCGTTTCTTGTACTTGCTTTTAGCCAGGTTGAGTAAGAAGTCTGTAAATATATGCTCGTATTCTGGCATTTTACCATACCCTGCAAATAACACATATCATCATATTTTTAATTTGAAGTTTAAACGACAATATGAAGATGATTTAAAAAAAAAAAGAAGAAGAAGAGAATTACCAGGAAAATAATTTATGTCAATCACATAAAACCGATCTCTAGTCCCATGTTCACGAATCATATCCAGGTTGAACAGATGAAGACCCTGAGGCATCACATCATGTACATTGGTCACAATTGAATTATCATTTTTTATTATTTAAAAAATAAGCATTGAAAAGAGATAAATTAATTTATACCAGTCGGCGACGAAGTTCTCTAGCCAGGCGTTCAAGCAAGGCTCGTGGAGGAAGCTCTGCAACAACAACAAAACCACAATAAATTAGGTTTCACCCAAAAACATGATTTAAGGAAGGAAAAGAAAAGCATACCAGCAATACAAGGGTCCAAATCAGCAACTGAATCGTCTGCTGACTGGGCAGCACATGAGACCCTTGGAAAGCGGAACACGCCTCCAACGCTTCTCCTTGACAGGTCACGCTTGCTGACATCAGGTAAAGAGAATCTCCTCACAACCTTAACCGCATCCCCAACTATGTACACTTTGAACACAACACCACCTACCACCATATCCATATCCATACCCCATCATACAATTGTATAATCAAACAAATCATGTTACATTTCAATTACTTACCATGGTTAATAAACTCTTGGAGAACAAGGGGAGGCTCTAGCTTCTCAAGGGAATACTCATCGTAAGCAAGTGACAGCTCATGCGACTTGGCAACCAAAGGCTTTGCAACTGAAACAGATACCACTCGTTATATCCAAACATCATCAACATTAATTATTCTTTTGATTATATAATCATATCTGCAAAACATACCAAGAGGTAGGGCTAATCCTGCCTGCTTAACAGCATCAGGGATAGATGATGGATCTTTCTCTATCACCAGTTGTTTTGGGACACCTACACTACCTGCATTTTGCATATCATAACAACAAACTCTGATTCTTAGATCTGTATTATTCTTTACAGATTAGAGATGGATTGGATTTGGATGAAATTTTTACCATATGCAGCATCAGATAAATCAAGATCAGCAACGTCCTCAAGCATCGACTGTCTATTGTAAACATGTTGTATAGCACTTGGAGGATCCAACACTGTAACCTCTGGATGTGTCAGCCGATAGTCCTTCAAAAACACACAATCAAAGAAAGGGTTGATTACATTACATAATGCATGGATATCCTTTTCCTTTTCCTTTTCCTTTTTCTTTTAGTAACTCATATCTAAAATATAACAACCAACACAAATTTCACATACGCTGGTCAAAAAAAGCCACCCACCCACCCATGTATGTAATTGTAATGCTAATCCCATCAACTTATCTAATTAATACCAATAACACGAAACTTAACTAAGGACTAATTAAGCAAGCAAGTAAACTCCTAGCCTCAGGTTTTTAGATTTCTCAACTTCATTCATCATTAGTCCATGAATTATATTCATTGTATGTATTTTTATGGTTACCTATTTTTGAGTAACTATGAGCTTGGCCAGATGTCTAAAACAGTTACCCCATAGCAATACCATCTTGTCTGCATTTTTAACTGTCAACCATGCAATTTTGGACATAATAAGTTCCACCATACAGATTACAGATACAATACATACAACTTCAAACTTAAACAGACATCTTACACATAAATAACCTATATATAATGTGAACAATAATCTATGATATGACAAGTAGGATTTAATATATCAAACTAAAGAAGATTGTGAATAGGAACCAACCTCAAGAATTTGCTGCCATTCCTTCCCAGACAACTGGAAAATAAAGAGTTGAATCAAATAAGTATCATCATCAAATATCAACTATATGTATATATCTCTGGGGATGTAAATGCGAGATGTGAAAATTTAATATTAAAAGAATGAAAAGTTGTTCACCATGCAATGCATGTGATGAGGTGGTTGACATATGTATTCAGATTTCAGACGAATATGGAAGAATAGGCCGCACTGACCTTATGCAGCACAATGTCAAAAGGACCTTGATCTGAAAGAGGCCTCGTTTGATCAATAGCAACAAAAAATATCCCCTTATTCCTGCATATATTATATATATATATATATATCATTTACACTCACTCAGTCAACTCACACCACAAACCTAAACCTACACTACCACAAATATGAATTATTATGAATCAAAAAAACCATGAAAATAATTAAACCAAAATATTCAATCCAATAGCCTATAGGATCATTTGTCACAAAAGTCAACTGTTGCATAAGATACTGATTCCCCACATGTCTCTCAAAAGAATATATGAAATTCAAAAACAAGAATCTTTCTTGGAAAACAAAAGAATCCCACTACCCAACAGCCGAACAACTCTTTTGGAGGGCGGATCGAATCAAAGCAAAAAAAAAAAAAAAAAAAAAAAAAAAAAAAAAAAAAAATTTACATACCAATACCACATCAAAAGAACGAAAAAAGAAAACGGTTTTTACATTTTTCAAAGTATTCCAAACCCAAAAGTTTGCGAGAACAACAAAAACACAAACGAAAACCATAAATTCGATGTCTTAATTTTTTTTATTTTGCATTCCCAGAAGCAATCCTCAATAAGGAACGATCGTATTTACGAACGAACGTGATCCGATACTTGTACAAACACGTATATGAAATTAAGGATTTTTTTAATTTTATTTTTAAATTTGGTGAATAGCGGGTGATATGGGAAAACTGAATTAAAAATTTACCTAGCCAAACCTTCAAACTTTGGCTGCAAAAAGCTCTTGATCTTCTTAGATGTAAGAGCATAACCTACAACGACAACCTTCATCGATTTTTCTTGAAACCCCAAATCAACGATTGAACCACAGCTACTACTCGATTCCATTTCCCTTTCCTCTTCGCTCTCGTACCCAATCATCTCCTCCTGCATCAACCTCATTATTCGAAACCCTGGTTCCAGAACTTCCTCGTCAAATTTCAATTTCTTCTAGCTATTTTTGAACAAATTGATGAAAAGAAGCCAATTTTTCTCTAAAATTCAATCAAAATCGGATCCCAATCGTTTTTTATTAATATTTATAAACGAATTAACGAGAAATGTAGGAAGAAAGATCGGGAATTTTCAGGCCAGATGAAAAAATTAAGCGATAAAAATTGCTAATGGAAAGGGTGAGATCGAATTTGAAGAAAACACGCAGGCAGGCAGATGATACGTGAAATACGTGTGTGTGGTTGCAGTGTATATATAGACAAACAACCCACACCTCGGAGAAGGTTCCGCTGTCCACTTGCTCACTTCTATGGATGGTAAATTGACATAAATACCCCTCGTGATCTTTTCTAGATCTCTGACGTGTCACCACCCATTTTGGCATTTCCTCATCACACCCAAAATTTTAATATTTACAAAATCAATATTTTATCAAAATGATATTCAATAAAGTATCCAGTAACAAATTTTTTTTTGGTAGGAAGGTAAGAAGTTTTTTTTCTACATATTTTTTTGACGAACAAAAAAAATTCTCAAAAAAACATCTATATGATTCATTTTTAAATAAATTAAGAAAAAATCAACTTTTATAACAATTTTAGTTAATAACAACAAAATCATTATATAAATGAATCATCGAGTTGTTTTTTTGAAAATTTTTCTTGTGAATCATCTTTCAAATGAATCATTTAATGCTTCATTTTGTTTGTTCGCGAGAAAATATGTAGAAAAAAAACTTCTTACCTTCCTACCAAAAATTTCCTTCTTATTTGATCTTGACTATATATATATATATATATATATATATATATATATATATATATATATATATATATATATATATATATATATATAACCATTTACACTAATTACATTACAAAAATAGCAAAAAAAAAAACCGAAGTTGCAAAAATAACCATGAATTTCGCAGATAGAATAGTCTCATCCGTGAAATGGACTTTCTATCCGTGAATGTACAAGCAACTTTTACTTTTTTTTTTTCTCTATATATATTGAAATTGTAGGGTAAATTCGCAGATGGAATAGCCCCATCTGCGATTTACTCTTATTTCATCTGTGAAATTGCGATTTATTTTTAATTTAAATTTTTAAATTTTTTTTTTTTAGTTTGATTATAAAATCAATTGGTTTGTAGCTCGGTTATATTTAAACGTACATCACCAACATCAACATAATGCCCGTAAACATATTTTTTTTTTATTTTTTTTATTTGAATTTTTTTTTCTTTAGTTTTATCTACCACACGCCTATTCATAACTTTAACTTCTTATTCAGCAATATTATTTCGTAGTCAAACCAATTGATTTCATAATCAAACTAAAAAATAAAAAATAAATAAAAATAAAAATAAACCGCAATTTCACAGGTGGAATCAGAGTAAATCGCAGATGGAGCTATTCTATCTGCGATTTTACCTTACAATTTCAATATATATAGAGAAAAAAAATAAACAAAACAAACCACATGCGATACAAGCAGTTAAAGCACAGTTGTGCTTTAGTTGCTTGTACATTCATAGATGGAAAGCCCATTTCACAGATGGAACTATTCCATCTGCGAAATTCATAGTTATTTTTGCAACTTCGGTTTTTTTTGGCTATTTTTGTAATGTAATTAGTGTAAATGTCTATTTTTGTCATTTCTCTCTCTCTCTCTCTCTCTCTCTCTCTATATATATATATATATATATATATATATATATATATATATATATATATATATATATATATATATACTAGTTTATAACCCGTGATAACCACGGTTATAAAATAATTAAGCTTTTTTATTAAAAAATCAAAATTATTAATCGATTATTTTAAATAAATTATTACTTAAGAGATATTTTTTTAGTTATATAAAACTATAATCGTTGATTTAAATAAATACGTGGAGTTATATCATTTTATAATTTATATTAATTTTATTTTATTTTTTAATTTAATGTTATTAATTTAATATAATTAAAGGAAGAAATTTTAAAATTTGAAATTTAAAATGAAGAATCAATTATTAATTTAATAAAATTAGAGTGAGAAATTTAAAATTTGAAATTTGAAATGAATAATTAATAGATTGATAAGTGGCATGATAAATGATATATAACATTAATGAAGGGTTCTAATTGTATGACACTTGTCAATATGAGATTAAACCTATTCTTTTATTAAAATAGGGATATATATATATATATATATATATATATATATATATATATATATATATATATATATATATATATATATATATATATATATATTAAAGATATGAAAGTTAGGAACTTCTTAAATATTTGACAAGATTGGTCCCTACAATTATGTATGTTTGCTCCTTTTTTTTGTTATTTTTTTTATCACTTTTGGTCCTCCAACTTATGTTGGTATTAAAAAACTATTTACAACATTGACCCTTCACCTTTATACTTTTGTTCACAAACAACCATTTCACTTTGGTTTGAATTTTTCATAACTCTCGTCTTTTATTATTATTAGTATTTAGTCTTTTGGCAGAAATGATCCCTCATTATTATTATTATTATTATTATTATTATTATTATTATTATTAGACAAAATTACACGATTGGTCCCTATGGTTTACCAGATTTAACACATTAAGGACAACAATAGAAACCGAAATCACTCTTTTATTCCTAATCCAATTTTTTTTATTAATTTATATTTCTCTTTTTGGTTTTAAATTAATGTTTTATTTATTAAAAAATACTCACCCAATACCATAAAGCCACCCACCCACTGCCATCACTATTACCACCACCACCGCCAAAATTACATAAATGGTCCATATACCGTCGTCACAAATTCAGTCACTATTACCTTAAAAGACCAAATTATCCTCACCTTAACGGACAAAAAACAACGGTCTATATTTTCCGGATTGGTTTTCCGGCCGCTGCCATACATGACAATAAAGTTCAATTTGTGAGACCGTTTCTTTATTTTCCTCATTTATTGCAAGAAATAATGATTTAGATTTCTTTACTTATGCAATTAGATGACATTGTTTATCTTATTTTAGTAGATTATCTCAATGCAATTCAACATGTTACTTTACTTTACAAAGCAATACCTTCCGACCCTAGCAACATCGGGGAATCTTTTCTAGTTTGATATTAAAAATTTTCAATAAGATTGATTCAATTTGATTTCAAGGGGACTCAAACTTGATCTTTGAAGTAAACAAATCAATAATCAATAATATACAACCACAAAATTTATAAATAACAGATCTTAAAAAGAATTTTACCTTTTCTAACTGTACTTTTATTTTCTAAGGGGAAAAGAAGTAGAAATCTTACTATATCTAAATGTAGGGTTTTTTTTTTTTTTTTTTTTTTTTTTTTTTTTTTTAATTCTTAAAGAATTATGCACATTTGACTTAATACGTGAATATGATTTAAAATAATCATGTTTTGAATATGATTTAAAACAATCATGTTTTGAATATCCGTATTTGAATATGCTTAATAATAAATATTTACTAAGATTATTCCCTTTATTTTTATTTTTTTTTGAACGGCAAAAAAAAATATATTATATTAAAACAAAAGCCAATGGGGAGCTTGTTAAAAAATAACAAAATTGAAAGAAAAAAAACAAGAAGGCAACAAAAAGTCACAAAAAAGAAAAATAAAAAGCACTCCCAAAATTGAAAGAAAAAAGAAGAATGCAACAAAAAGTCACACAAAAGAAAAATAAAAAGCACTCCCACACCCCTAAAAATAAAACAGGAGCAGCTCCACCAAGCCACCATAAATGAGAAAAGGCAAGTCAACCAGGAGCAAAATGACAACCCAAGGAAAAATAGTAGAAGCATCAGGGGAAAAAAGAATAGGCACCAATCATGACATCCAAATAGCCCCACTTCTCTCAATACTTGCATACCTTAAGTAAATAACTAACAAGAAACAGCACTCACACGTCTCCCACGTCAAAAATCAACAAGCTTGACAACTTTTGATGGGTGGAGCTTGAGAAATTGATGACAACAGCCAACCAGCAAACATCCACAGAAAGCAGCATCCAAGCAGAGAGGAAACATCAAAAGATATGGCAGCAAAACATCTCTACATCAGAAGAGTCTAAGCAGGGGTAAAAAGGTCCAAACTTTGAGAACTCTCCATACTACAACCTTGAATATTAATAAGACCAACTGAAAATAGCATAACCACAAAGGACCATCATAGAATCATCTGGAAAAAAAAAAAAAAAAAAAAAAAAAAAAAAAAAAAATACACCTTGAGAACTCGTATAGAGGCTAATCAGCAAAAACAAAGAAGCCTGAAAACACATCAACCACACATAGGAAATGTACCTGCAAAAAATGAGAAAAAAGGACGAATGACCACACGAAAGATCTAGACGTAGCCTCAATCCTACCAGATGTCTACCCTGTGAGCTCAAACACACACCAAACATACACTTGTTGCGAAATAGATATGACACCATGAACACCAAAGAAATGACTCAAAACCCAACCCAACCAACCCACCCTTATAGCCGATGACAAAACAATTTATAATCGGAGAAGAACACCAAGCTGCCCACTCAATAGACTTGCAATTGGATCTATGTTTAATCCAGTTAAATGTATTATTACTAATATTGTCGCCCTCCTTTTGTTCTTGAAAACAATGGTATTGTGCGCCTTCCAAATAAACCAGAGAGTCGTCTATGCCAAAACCAACTGAAGCTTTTTCATTTTTTTACTTCCAACATTCCCCTCGAGCATCTTCAACACATCATCACAAGAACTCGGCTGCCTAGTGAGAAGAGAGGACCATTGCACCATCATCTTTTAGAAATTGGGGGTAAAAAGATTGATTGGAATCCGCTGAAAGTCACTATCAAATTAAAGTATTTCGATGGTCTAGACCGAAAGTCCAATTAGATAAAATTCAGTGGTTCTAAAAAAATGAATGAAGTATGTATATTCTTGTTGTGTACCAGAATTCTAACCAAAAATGAATTAGCAACCTCTATGTCTGAAAAACTACTTAAACTGTCACAAGATAGTTTCCAAATTGTCACAAAAACTGCTATCAACTGTCACTAAAATCGGATTCAAGATTAGGGTAAAAAAATTAGGTCAATTTTCATAAATTCAAATTTCGATGCATTTTTAACAAAGCAATATTAACCCAAATAAAAAAAAATTCCAAACCGACATGGGCTCTGCCCGTTGG